GTTAGTGGACAAGGTATTCATCGAATCTATAGGTTCACTTTCTAACACTTTCGGACCACACAGGCGACGAGCTCTGTAGAACAGGGTTCTTACCAATCCAATCTTGTCATGTAGAGGACAAAATCTTTGGAAATTTAAATACTGGCCCGTCCATGCACACCTATGATGAATTAACGTCAGGAATGTACTATTCTTCAATCTTGTCAGTTGTAGGTATAGGAATGGTAAAGAGCTATTAGTCTCACATTTCAAAGTGAAAATGACATTGCTGTGCATCCCGTTTAACCTGTTAAACAAAACCATGGCATCTGTTTTGTTTGAGGTTATTACCAGTGTGTCATTGACATAACGACGATAAAACACTGAGGATTTGAGATCAATTTCAANTGACATGAATATATCAGCTAATATTGGTCCATTTGGGCTTCCCATAGCCACTCCATCTATCTGACGGTAAAATTGTGCCATTGAAGACAAACTGCACATTACAAATACACAATTTCATTAAGGTTCTCAATTAATTTGCTTGAAATCCAATTTCAGTGAATCATTTACAAACTTCCTCTACGCTTTCCGGCACTGGCACGTTAGTGACTAGCGCGGCAACATATGTCTTTGGTGTCTTTTTTACTTCCTTTTTCTATTCATTGAATATACAAATGTACAGTCAACTTTCAGGAAGGGGATGCGGCCATACGAAGGCTGCCTGGGGAGGATACAGACATAGGGAAGACAGGCGGCGGTGGAGCGGTTTTAACCCGGGACATCCCGGTCACCAGTTGGTGACCTAACCACTTGGCCACCACCGCCATCGACATCATAAGAAGCCAGGAAATATTTGCGGTAATCAACATCAAGTAGTTTATCCCTCAACTAGATTAAATCTTTCAACCCGAAATGAGAAACTTTCATACCGATGGGACTGATCTGTTTGGCCAGCCACTGAGCTAATCTGTGTTGAGGCGAGTTGATCATTGACAGAATCGGGCGCAAAGCGACTCCTAGTTTATGAAGCTTTGGTAAACCATAAATATATGGTATTCGTGTTTCACGAGGTCTCAAATCGTTTAACGTACTAGTCGTAATCACTCCGCTTTTCCAAAGCTGTTTCAAGTAGACACCGATCCTTTTCTCTGTTACCTCAGTATTGTCCTTCCTCTTTGGATCCATCTAGAATCGGTCACCATCACTGAGAATGGTCCTTTTCGAAGTATTAAGGAAACTCGCTAAACATAAAGAAAAATGGTAATACCGCATACGGCGCATTCATTGTGAGATTGTTTTGAATTCAGGTTTTCACAATGGTCACATCGATGTTTATAGTAAAACAGTAAAACAACTTTGATCAACCACTTTTTTGAATAAATTTTGAAGGGTATATCAATCTTATTTACCAGTTTATTTATCGTCTTTGTCAATAACCCCTTGGATGTACCTATGAAATTCCAAAAGGCTAAAAAAGTATCATTTAAGTTGAAGTAAAATAGATAACGGACTTTGTCGAAAGATGCATGAAAAATCTGTTCAGAAAAACTATGATTTATTTTTGTATTTCAAATAAATGTTATCTTATCCAGGTCAGACGGCTGCACACACTTCACGACAATGAAACTTAGTGATTTTTACCCACTTCAATTGATTTTTGAGTTTGGTATAAGCCCAAGAGATCAAAAGCAATTTGTATGAGGGACTCAAAGTTAACCCAGAGGTTGATTGATATCTATCTTTCATGCATTTGTGGAGCTCTCGTATTGATTCATCCATCCATCATAAACTTTCGGATGTCAGTCATGGTTCTGTAACTTCGTATCAAATGTTTTACATTTTCTCGCAGAAGCACTTCCCCAAAACCATATTATTCCGGAGGCTTTTTGCAGTCTAACGACCGCCGGTGCGAAATAACTTTCACAAGGTACGCTGCCAAAGGTATGTGGGTTTTGACGGCCGTCATGCAGAACAAGTTTCCAGTGATAATTGGGTCGTTGCCTTTGTGTGTGTCCGCGCCTTTACGTATTTTATGAACAGGGCAAATTTGGACGTGAGGTGAAAGATGTAATGCATTGCTACTTCGAGGGCTCGCGGCCCAACAGCGGCGAAGGCTACAAAACTGTGACCCAAGCAAGGCTAGGACATCGTAAGCAAAGCTTCAAAGGAATATGCAGTGGGTGGATAACCGCGATAAACACGACAGAAATCAACATCAATTACACAAATTTCTGTATGAAATCATTCCTAGAAATTCAACATTCACAGACCTCTGACACGAACCACATCCTAATCCCTTATTGAACGATCTATAACAGTGACCGTTCGTTAGCACTATTTTACGTATTCACACAATTACCAGAAATCACCGTTGTTCCGGGATACATAGACGATAGAATGTCAATGACAGAGGCCGTTTAGTCAACTCAAGCTATGATTATTGCCTATTATTAACATTGATTTTTCATGTATTCAACTGGATTCAATGAGACTGTGTTATTAGACTGAACAAAAATCTCGGTTGTTTTAACAGAAAGCAAACGCTCAAGACCTATCTATCTATCTATCTGTCTATATGTCTATCTGTCTAGCTCAATACGTCAAACAGAAAGATACATGTATTAGATGCAAAATGAGCGGCGTAATTTTCATTTTGTTTAGCATTTAGGGAAGGTAAAAGTAGAAGACTCATACTTACCGAATAGGGAAAAGGTACACAATTCAACTCTGTTTCATTGCTTTGCATCTACTGTAACTCATACAACACCATCCTCATAAAGTGATAGATTTCACGATCAGCGCACACATCTCGGTCTAACACAAACATACTCGCAGTGATTCGGTCAAAACAGTGGAAGATATCCCCGTGTACAGTAGTTTCCGTCGAAAGACGTCACCCGCTAGAGTCAGCCATTTGGGGAATGCTCGTCAACTGTGTGGAACAAACAGTTTCGTTGCTGAAATTTTCCACTGGATGATACAATGTTCAAACAAACATCATGATGAACAGAATGGATTCTCTTACCCAAATATTCATCTTGGGAGATTTTGTGGTCACCGTCTTGATCAATACTGTCGATGAATTCCTGTTGATGTAAAATATTGGGGAATGTTACGCGGTATGTGGTGCAAGACAAAATATCGAAGCAATGAATTTTTTTAGCCTGACCATCATTTCTATCTCTTTTTCTACCATTTTGTGATGCTTTTTAAGGCCTAAAAACCACACTACATGGAAGGTTCAAAGCCGGCATCATTTCTCACAAACGAAGCTATTTACCACTGTGTGAAAAAGCAATTTGGCGGCATCCAAAGAGGCCGAATGCACAGGTTTGATTGGTTTGCTTTTTTATTCCACTCCAGGGTCGACTAGATATCCCGATATGGATCCGTTCCAGCTGACGGCTAAGCATCATCGATCTTTGTTGGTTCAATACATGTTGCGCCTGCAAAGTGTTACAATTATTTGTTTCGCAGCAAGGCGACCTCATTCAACAGACGGGACAGCCTAAAAAATGTCAACCCAGAGGGATTGCGTTCTTTTTTGGTCAATTTAATTCACACTCTTCATCCCAATATTCTAAACCATTGTGTAAGTTTGGCGAAGTACCCGTAATCAGTTCGGCATAACCTGCTTCTGACAGAAAGCTAACAAGATTGCAAACAATCATTTACATAGAATCAGACAATGTGAGTGTCGAGAATGAGAATGTCAAGTCCAATGTCTGTCCACTCATCATTTTGCACAACTTTTTTCATCGGAAAGGCACAATGAACAAAGTGTGGGCACGTCTCTGACCTGGTATTCCACCAATATACTTTATTTAAACACCCAATGTGATTTTCGTATACGTTTTGTTTCCATCGCCCTTGAACGCACTTGCAAAGATGCTTTTTGTTATTCATTAGAAAAAAAACTGTTTTTAACATGTTTGCTTGATAATAGCATACATTAATCCCTTACGCTGTTTCTCCCGCTCTGGTTGTGCTTAGTGTTTAACAGTATAACCCAGGCCTGGTGTGAATAGTTGGTACTATGATTACGGTGAGTTCAGAAATATTTTAGTAGCATAAGTGTATCTTAGCACCGGTGATTTTGTGCGGAAAACGTTTGGCCTCCTGGGTTCTCTATTAAGAAAAAACGACACAGAGTGATGTGTTGCTGACCAGACAACTTTTAATCATTTTTTTACGTTCACTTGTTTGGCAAAAACTCAGAGTCTATTCAATTTATGATGGCCTAGTCGGTTACATTTCTACAGTTTCCTGTAAAATCAGGCAAATTTCAAACCTATGATGCTTATATACATTGTTACCAGCTGCATATTTTTGAAGTGTGTATAACAAGGCAATCTGCGGAAACAGAGCACAATCCTCTGTTATACGAGTACAACTTGATTTAAGAAGTAACTTTCTGTACACTGTTTCATTAAGTTTACGCAATAGCAGAGAAATCTATACCAATAAAAGTTGAAAAAACTTCTAGACAAAGATGTGTGAATGTTAATTCCGCTGATTAAACTGCAAATTTGGATTACATGTTTTATTTTGCACATTGTTTCACAGTCCGATAAGGATATGAAAACCGTTATTTTAGGCGAGCAGCTAAAGTTCATCTGTTGTTTAGAAATGCACGGATCATTTTGGAAGTGTCGGGAGTCTAATTGAATGGTGCGGATATTTAACACGAGTCAACGTTTGACAAAACTTTACATAATGCATTATCTTTCACCAAAATGATGAAATGCCGCGTTAAATCGATTATGTCGGAAAATGGAACATGACGGCATCAACAACGGGCACATCGTTTGATCATTAGATCATTTGTTTTCACATTCCTTCAAATTTTCTTTGATATGAATTCCCAAAAGCCCTCTCAATTGCATCCGCTTTGCTTAAAGGAAACCATGCAGTATTTATAAATGTATATGAACACAAGGTTACCTTGGTTACTTAGTTGGTCAATCGAATATAGGGCTTTTCCTCGTTCACAAAACAAGCAGCATTCATTTTATGGTGTTATGAAAGTGGTCCGCGAAAAAAAACGTATCACCAAATCTTTTGCCAAACCGAGAGCAAATATGCCGGAAAAATTCTCCTGAAAAATGATCTACAACAGAAAGTCTCGTTTTGCTTATCCCGTCCTTATTCGTTCGTCGTTTTGTTCCCCTGGACACGGTGGAAAAACTCGGTTTTCATAACCCTGTGAATATTGAGACTTCAACAGACCACAAATCTGACACACTGTTCCATTCGAAAAAAAGCCGAAGTGTTTAGCCAAATGCAATAAAAATCGTGTGAGGTGGTTTGAATCACCCAGGGTTCGAAGGTAAAAAAATGCAATTTCATTTACCACTAAACGACGTTCTCGCGGCCATTTCGAGTAGGCACATGAATACACATGCACACGCGCGATTGCCACAAACCGAAAGATTTCTGCTGTTTTGCCGATCAGTCGTAAAGAGAGCGCAAAAACTCGCCTAGGAAAAAGACAAGGAAATTTCTTTATTCTAATTACCTTACTGAAAGACAACTATGGTAAATTTTATATGTTCCGAAGTGCATACAGGTCTTCGACACGAATCTGCGAATTGTAGCTTGTTTAAGTCGGTTTGCATCCGACACATGTGGGTAATTAACAGGATCCCTTGATGCTATGACTTACGCGCACTTCGTGGATGGAAAAAACAGCTCAGTTCTGTAGCTTATTTTGCCGTTACTGGTATAAAATAGTACATTAACCAGTTTAGGCGCCAGAAACACCCAAACTGAAGCGATTTAACCCTGCCAGAATGAACATTTATGTAATTTTTGAGGAGTTTAGTTCAAACTGCGTATCCATATCTTTTGAGTTTGGCAACAAACCCTTCGAAAAAAAACCTTTTTACTAGTGAATCTCTCTTGATTTCCCTAAGGATTTACTGATAACAGTTATTGTGAAGAATTCAAATATACATTATTGATCATAAACTTTGGAACTATCAGGATCAATAATTTAGAATTAGTTAGAGACTGAATGAATGGAAGATAATAGTTTTCATTTCATTCAACTGCCGCAGCCAACTCTGGTAGTTTTCAACTCACTGTTATGCACACTTGGGGTTTCGTTGTTATAAATTAGAAGGATATGCACTCATGATGATTACAAACAAACAAAAAAATGAAATGCTCCACCTTGATTACAAGATATTGGTATTGAATGATTTATCATTGGTCGTAATCGAAGCATTACTGCTAGCGCTTGAAAAAGAGCCTCCTTCATTTCGAATTTCTTTTCCGGTGTTTTTGATTACGCTCTCGAGAAATAAATATATATACTTCTCATGTGAAGACATAGTAGAGAAGCAGTATACTTTTGCTCTTCCAACAATTTTGACTGCTAGAACGCTGAGTAAAATAAACTAATTTCAGGGATTCAAGACATCAACCATTTTTCCTAATAAATTGATATCCCATGCCTCACTCGTTCCCTCGCAGACACCTGAACATGTATGGCGTAAAAGCGATTTGTTAGCCTCTGTGATATACTTCCACCACGACGTCTGGCCTCCGCGGTTTTAAACTTCTTGTTCGTAGCTGAGTATATTAACGTGCTGGGGGATGCATAGGATTAACTTGGAACACCAGTTGTTTATTGTGTATTGAATCTAGGGATGTCATCTTGGGCTACAAATTGTTATCACTCTGTTTCCAAACCGGGGTTCGTAACTAATATTTTGGGGTTAAATGCATATGTTAGACCAACCCAATAACGGTGGATAAGTATTCAGAGAAGGATCTAGTTCAAAATACTGATTTCATACTGATTGGAACAAACAATTTGCTGAGAAATTATGCTTTCATTATGCGCAAAGGCATCTATGAAGACAATATTACTGCTCCCGCTGCTTAGTTATCGTCTCTTATTCGGATACGATCGAGTTGCAGAACGTCTGTTGAATATCGGCAAACTAGAAGATGCGCGAAGCTCGACAACGGCCATTAATTAGACCGCACTCTAGATCACACTAGCTTTCCAGATTTAAATACAGGTAAACCAAGAGGCGCCATCCACCATACAGCTGAATTTCATCCTGGCGGTTGAGTCTTCAGGTCGCCGGTAGTAGTACGGACTTTCTGGACTCAATTGGACAGTGAGTGGTCAAAAATCCTCAGATTTTGCGGACAGTTACAATTTGTGAATAAAAGGGGAGCTGTGTTTTATGAGATAAATGATCTCTGTGCAACCGGAAGCCATACAAAACACTCGCTCACACAAATTCTACCTCTCAGCTAGTTTCCTTACTGCCATTAATTTATCCCACTAAAAGAGAAATCCCACTGTGAAGGGACAGGAGGCTGATCCACGGAACTTCCTATGGATTTATCCAAGAACACGACGATTCAACACATCAGAGCTGAAATAAAGTCAAGTAGATCATGCAAACTGGAATAGGTCTTCATCACTCTGTTCATTCACCTAATAATAACAAAATGTGAAAGATACCGAAGCTAGCGAGTTGCACAGCCAACTAAATCAATCGTAAAAGCTATTGAACGTCCCAATCCTAGGAAACCTACAGTCAAAGTGTATTTATTTACGCATCGGTGGCTAGATAAATCTCGAAAAAGCTGTTGTATGAAGAACGTCATCAAACTGTCCCTGTGAAAACCTACTGAAGCTTTAATTGTAACCACTACTACCTCAAGTAGTCTAATCCTTGTGAAATGACGAACACAAATATTAGATACTTACAAAATGAAAAAAACAGAAGTTTTGTGGGACACTGAAGCCTTCGAAAAAAGTTTTGATTCACGTGAACCGTATCAGTCGAACGATATCTGCTGCCTAAGAGGCTTGTGTGACCTCAGATGCATTGATTCTCTCTCTGGTCAGAGGAATCAATGATATCAGGGGGGTGGGGGATTTGATTTGATTCGCTGATCAATTTATCATGTTAATGAAGCGTGAGCTGAAAAGTTAGGAAGCACTGGACAGCTGTTTCGACCTGGTTAGATCTCATCGGTAGTGCAAATCCATTAATTCGCGCCTCATTTACATGACGAATTCATCATCGAATCAATCATGGTATGTGTGTGTAAATTT